TCTGAGTGGGGCCTGAGTCATACAGGTTTCTTGACTCATGGTCCAGCCAGTACAAATCCTTCTGTAAGCAGTGCTAGTGTATTGGTTAGCCCCCCGCTACCATTTTTTACCCCTCCCTACTTTGGCTCTTTTACTCTGAGTGTAGCATTTTTATGAACATCCTGAACTTGAACTATCCTATTTGGACAAAGAAATACTGATCCAGAGGGACAGATGGTGTGGTTATTGGTGGGCTCAATTTACAGCGCTGTTTGCTATTCTGTTTCCCTCCTTGATCCTCCCACCTAGATTTCTAAGGTCAACTGTCTATCTCCTGCAAAGCTATAGACTTTTATTTTATTTGTAAAATTCCAGGTTTAAAAAAAATTGATAAAAAGAAATGTATAAATTAAAATATGATTTATAATCCCACCACCCACGGTTTAACCCACGGTTAAAACTTGGGTGTCTATCCTTCTGTGACTGCATAATCAATTATATTGGATTATATTAGAGAGGCAATGTTTTCTATGCTGCTTTGTTTCAAATTCTGGTGTGATGATCTACTTGGGCTATATAATCTTGAGTGAATTACTCAAACTCTCTGTGCTTTAAAATGGATAATAATAGTGTTAGAAAGCATAAATTAGTTATACTTGGAAAGCACTTAGAACAGTGGCAACTACATAGTAAATATTCAAAAAATGTTAATGAACATTGGTATTTTTATTATATGAATACTATTTTATAATCTGCTTTTAAAAATACACTGTGCATATTTTCTCATGGTATTCATGACTAATACATGCCTGACTCAAAATCCATTATATGACTGTACCATAATTTATTCAATCAATTTCCATTGTTGGATATTTATTGTTTTCAGTGTTTTGCATAGTAATAAATAACTCTATAGTAAATGTTTTTGTGCATAAATCTTCAGGCACATGTCTGATTATTTCCTAGGGCAAGTTCCTAGAAGTAGAATGCTGGATCAAGAGGTATCAACCCTTTTTAGGCTTTTGCCAAAATGCCTTCCAGAAATGTCATGTGAAGTTGTGCTTCCAATGCATGAGACTGCTATTTCCCCATAGCCTTCCCAGCTCTGGCTATTGTGATTTCAAAAATTTCTTGCCAGTCTGTCATTTGCATAATCAAATAGTGCTCTCTATTTTCCAAAACTCTACTCTTCTGAGGTGTTCATTTTCTTTAATCTCAAATCCCTTTTGAGTTGTTTCCCCCTCCTCCTTTAATCTACTCTATCTTTTAATCTTAAATTCCTGCCCTGTTACTATTCCAAACCTTTGCTATTTTTTCTGATTTCTTTTTTTTTTTTTTTTTTGAGACAGGGTCTCACTGTGTTGTCTGGGCTAGAGTGCCGTGGCATCATCCTAACTCACAGCAACCTCAAACTCCTGGGCTCAAGCGATCCTCCTGCCTCAGCCTCCCGAGTAGCTGGGACTACAGGCATGTGCCACCATGCCCGGCTAATTTTTTCTATATGTTTTTAGTTGTCCGATTAATTTCTTTCTATTTTTAGTAGAGACGGGGTCTCGCTCTTGCTCAGGCTGGTTTCGAACTCCTGAGCTCAAACAATCTACCCGCCTCGGCCTCCCAGAGAGCTAGGATTACAGGCGTGAGCCACCGCGCCTGGCCTTTTTTCTGATTTCTTTACACCATTTCCCTTCTACCCATTTGGAGTTAGGTTATACTGTTCTGTTTCATATAGGTATGGGCTATACATCTAGTAGATGGATACCATGGGAAGATAGGAGCTTTTTTCATTGAGCCCAAATCTAATCAAAAATGAAGCTGTTCCCAAATGAATTCATCTGATAAGATCTAAACCAGTAAGATTCCCTGTTGCCTGAAGTATTTAGCCATATAGATGAGCATCTGAGAGCTGTGGAAGGTATTCTTACTCTGGGAAGTAAGTTAACCTATATGTCAGTCAGTGTCCAACCAGGAAAATAGAAACTACTCCAAGTATTTAAACACAGAAGGAATTTCATTTAGGGAATTGATTACAAAGGTGATTGGAGAGCTTAGAAGCCAAACAGATGGTGAAGCAACATTGAGATCAGTGGTATCAAGAAGTGGACTCCACCCCTAGGCTAAGAGGAAAGAGAGAGAGGGGCTGATGGAGTCACCTGGAGGTGTCTGGGCCATTGAGGGCCTATCTGTTGGGAGCTGGACCAAAGAGGTGATACTGATGCTTCTTATCACCCGAGGCAGAGTAGGAGGGACAACACTCTGATTTTCCTCTTCTCCCTCTCTAATCTCCTCCCAATGTCTCCCATTGGCAAATTCAATCAGAAGCCAGTTGACACAGATATTTGTGGAATTGTATGTAGCCTGAGATCAACCTGCCTGTGAGGCAGAGCAGAGCAGGGGAAGGGTGCAGAGGGGACCTGAGCGCAAACAGGCCAAGGCCAGGCACAATGACCTCGGGAGTCCCTTCAAGTCCACAGACAATAGGGCAAAGTGTAAAGCCTGCTGGCTCTGGAGAATCCTAGCTCTGTCATTTACTGGCTCTCTGGCCTTGGGCAAATCACTTAACTCCCTTGAGCTTCAGTTTCCTCATGTATAACAAGGGGCAGAGGATCTTTCCTTTTGGAAGCTCTGTATAGGGTAGGGGGCAGGTGATAAATTTCCCAAGAAAGATTCTAGGAGATTGAAAGTTTCATGTATGACTGATTCATTCATTCCACAAACATTTATGGGAACTCACTATTTTCTGGAAATGATCTAGACATGGTCCCCACCTTGGAGATGTTATTCCATCAAGAATGACAGATGGTCAAAGAGATAAATCTCAGTGCATAATGGTATGGGAATGTTTGCGGAAGAGGGAGCCATGGGATATCTCTGCCTAGGGAAGTGGGAGAAGGCTTCAGTGAGGAGATGATATTTGAGTTGTGTTTTTAAGTATGGGTAGGAGTTTGCCAGCTGTAGAAATATGTGCAAAAGTATAGAGTTATGAAAGGACACGTGTGTTGAGGAATGGTGAGCTGGTCACGTGGGTGGGACCTTGAGGGGTCCATGGTTGAGGTGATGGTGGGAGATGTGGCTAGACATGGAGGAGAAAGCCAGTGCGTGGAGGGCCTAGTCTATGAAACTAACGACTTTATTCAGTGGGGGATGAGAGGTTAGCAGAGACTTTCAAATCAGTGAGTAACCCACCATCTCTAACCTAGAATCTTATAAAGTGACACATCTTCCCAGACAGTCTTATGGCCTCAGCCAAAGGGCCGACGTATGCAGTTATATAAAGCAAGGGCATGTGTACATCTCATAAGACATTAAAAAGTATGAATCAGAAAAATGAGCACAGGGGTTTTCCCTTAATGTTAAATTCAGAATGGAAAGAGTCATTAACTTATCCTGCAGACGCTGAAGGGCTCAAGGTAAATATTTAAAATGTTCTCCCTCTCATTTCCACAAAGCCAAGAACATCAGAGATGGGATGATGATGTTTGTGGCTATGAGACAGGGTTTCAAGGGTTCTGATGAAATGTCTGCTGGCCTGAATCTGTCTGAATGCCGAAAAGGACTTTGTGTTACCATAGCTGAAAGGAAAACACAAAATGCTGGTAATATGGCCCTTTACGCTTTTCAGAGCCCTTTCACATACGTAGTCTCATTTAACCTTTTTGTCAGTTGTACGCAGCAGATAGGGCCCATTTTATAGATGAAGAAATGGAGGTCTGAGAGTTTCATACCTTCCCTGGGGTCCAAGAAGAAGTTATGCCCAAAGTTGCAACTGGATTTGTAGACATACAAGCCAGTGCCTTTCCCAAACCTAAGGGCCTTCTCGCCTACCTGTTTCCTTCCATATGCCAGGATGGCTTCTTTGAGGTCTTGAACTGTGTGCAGCCTCCTCCCATGACCTTTGGAGCGGTAGGAGCCTTTTCTCCTCTCTTCAGGTGTCCATGCTGACACGGCCAAACCTTCTGAATAGAGGATCAAGGCGCCCTTCCTAGTGCTGAAAGTTTTAGGGAGAAAGAGGCTCCAGGAGTGCTGGTCGGCATTGTCCTCAGCCCGAGGCTTTTCGACCAGTACATAATCTTCTGGGGACTTCCAGTTCAAGTAATCCTGCAATGAAAAGAAGCCACCTAGATCAAGCTTTTGTGGAAGACTTTTCTATAGAAATACTGCTCATGCAAGGTGTTTGACATTTTTTTAGTTACTGATTTTCTCTGACTTGTTCACATGGTGTCACACAACAACACAATTACTCTTTTTAGCAACTACTTTTCTCTTCACATCTCAAAATTAGCAGAACCCAGACCATGGTTCCATTTTACCCCATACAACTTTCAGGAGAGCCACTCATGCCTGGAGGCTTAACTCGGGTGGAGTATAGGTTACAGGCCAATTAAAGTTTCCTGGTATGCAAGTAAGTAGTCATAATTATCAAGAGCAGCAGATAACTTTGAAATTAGACCTGGACTAGCTGGCAGTTTAAATAGGTGAAAACCATTCCAACCCACCACCACTTCAGCTGCACACAAGGAGAATGTCTATGCATTCCAGATGCTATGTAACATTACCTAATTTGGCTATTTAGGAGCCTATAAAGTGGTTACATATCTTGTAAGTAAGTAAATGCCATTGGCCATAGAGGTCCTTTGAAACTTTATATGCCTTTTAACACAGCAAAGGTCAAATATCATGACAAGCTACCATGACAATGGAAATCTCTGTGTGACCTCCAAATTGCAAAGTGCCCCCAGTGGATTTCTTATTCCTGGCAGGATTCAATGAAATAAAATTCCAGTACGACGAGGGAATTTTGCCACCTCTTTAAAATCTTCTAAAATGAGATTTTTTTTTTTTTGGTCTATATTAAATATGAGTCCTGTGGGTTGAATTCCAGAAAGTTCAAGGAAGCCATTAAAATAGCACGAACACCCAGCATTTCAACCACAGAGTACAACTTCTAAAAACTAAACAACCATCAGCTTGCCTAGAACCCAGGTGGAAATTCTGGTCTTGAACCAAACCATCCAAATTCCAGACAATCTGGAATCTCCATTGGTCTCAAGCAAAGGAGGCTGTAAGTCGGTGTGCAAGCGAAAGGAAGAGGGCCCCAGTGACAATCTTGGTGTGTCAAGAAAACTACATTATTTTCTTGCGTTTCATGAAGGAGGAGGGAAGATCTACCAGGGAGTCCTGCCCGCCTCACTAACAACACAAACCAAGACACACATGGTTCGCCCCCACATAGGAAAATAGAGCATTCCTCCCCCAACCCCCAAATGTGCCTTTATTCAGCTGTAGGACTCACCTCTGGTTCCAGATAGACTTCTAACTTCTGTTTGTTCTGGACCAACTTCCCATGTCCCCGGCTCAGGAGAGAGAGCGTGAGCATGTTTCCCTCTGACCACCCCTTCTCAAGGGCAGTTCGTCTTGGTTTTGAAGGCTGAAAACTGGTCACACCTCAAGATTTCCAAAGCTCAGCAGCAAGCTCAAGAAGACCACAAACACTGGGCCTTTTATTAAATACATTTTTCCCTCTTACAGCAGCTCCTTAATAACAACAAGCCACACAGTTTAGACAGTGTGTGTCTTTGTCGAGAAGAAAAATAAACCGCATACCCAGGCTCCTCAAGACCTGGATTGTCTCCTCTCTGGGTAACCTCTCTCTCCCCTTTGCCTGGGCCCTTGTTGGCCCTTGGTCCCGGTTGCTCTGTTACTGGTGTGTGCATCTACAGATCTGGGCCACAGCACCATCCTTCTCATTGTGAGTGGAGGTTGTTTCCTGGTTGCTATGGCAGCACAGGGAAAGGAAGTCCCTTAAACCAACCCAGGCAAGGCAGAGACGGCTGAGGGCAGTGTTCATTCGCTGGGTGGGGGTAGGGGGGTGTCAATGGACCTTGAAGGGACTGGGCTCAGGTTGCAAGCCCTGGTTGTGTGGGGTGGGGGCCATGTTGGGTGTTTTTAGAAAGCGTCTCCCCCCTCTCCTGTTATGTGAGCCTGTCACTGTCAACTAACCATCAACAGACTCCAGGAGTTGTCTAGGTCACCTAAAGCCACCAGTGACGTTCTCTTTGGCTGAGCTCCAGCATCCCCGCGACTGGGCACAAGGCCTCATTATGGTAGTTGGTGCTTTGCATGAGTGAGTGGGGGATACCGGGAGTCTCCGCTTTCCTTTGCATGCCTGGTTCCAAACTGGGCAACTCCCATTCCCAGAGGTGGGTATTTTAGAAATGTGGGTGAGGGGCATTTTGATTGTCACAATGACTGGGAGCCACTGCTGGCATTTGGCAAGCAGAGGCCTGGGATGCTAACTTTGGCAGTGTGAGCGACTGTCCTACATAATGAAGAATTGTCTTGCTAGAATGCCAGTAGCACCCCCTTTGAGAAACGCTGTTATAGCCTGGGATGTTTGGTTCTCTTGGATGCTGACACTGTGAGGAGCACAGGACAGGATGGAAGAGGGTCAGGGAACAAAAAGATCCCTTTGCTGGTGCTCTAGGTCGCTGCTTTGGTCTGGAAAAGCAAGCTGCCCTGCCATCTGTCAGGGGAACTACCCTGGCAGTCTTGTGAGAGTGCCCCCTGCTGGCCTATATGAAGAAGTACAACAGGCTACAGGCCCACTCAGCCTTAATCAGCTGGCTCTGTGGCCCCTTCCACAGAGGCAGGCTCAGAACAAATAGATGTCATGCTGCAAAATTGGATGTATCATCAGAAATAAAGACAATCAATGCAGAGGTTCAAAACTGAATTTAATCAAAACCACAATGAGATACCACTTTATACGTACTAGGATGGCTATTTAAAAAACAAACAAAATAACAAGTGTTGGTGAAGACGTAGAGGAACTGGAACCCTTGTACACTGTTGGTGGGAATGTAAAATGGTGCAGCCTCTGTAGAAAATGGTAAGGCAGGTTCTAAAATAATTAAACATAGACTTACTGTATGGTCTAGTAGTTCCACATCTGGCTATATACCCAAAAGAAGTGAAAGCAGGGTCTCAAAGAGATATTTGCACATTCATGATCAGAGCAGCACTATTCACAAGAACAAGAATGTGGAAGCAACGCAAATGTCCATCAACAGATGGATGGATAAACAAAATGTGGCATATACCATACAATGCAGTATTTTTCAGCCTTAAAAAGGAAGGAGATCTGGACACACGTTACGACATAGATGACCCCTAAAGACATTATGCTAAGTAAAATATGCCGATCACAAAGGCATAAAAAGTGCATCATTCCACTTACGTGAGGTACCTAGAGTAGTCAAATTCGTAGAGACAGAAAATGAAATGGTGGTTGCCAGGAGGCTGAGGGACAAGGAAATAGAAAATCAGTGTTTAATGGGTGCAGAGTTTTAGTTTGGGAAGATGAAAAGTTTTGCAGATGGATTCACAATAATGTGAATGTGCTTAATGCCAAGGAACTGCACACTTAAAAATGGCTAAAATGATAAATTTGTGTTATGTGTATTTTACCACAATTAAAAAATTTTTTCCAAATGCGTAGCAACCCCTCCCCATGAGTTTGGTACTTCGTAACTGGAAAGTGGGTTGGTCAGCGTTATTGTGGAGTGACCCCTCGTGAGGGGTCAGGTGAGACAAAATCCTACAAAACCAGGATTCCAAATAGTTTACAAGGGTCTTAGGCTTCATCTTCCCCACTGCTTCAAAGTACACACCGGACCCTTCAACAGAACTTTCCTGAGACACGACCCTTGGGCTCAAGAAGCTCCCAGTACCTGAAAGACAATGTGGCAGCTGTGTCAACAGAGGTGGAGAGAAGGCGGTGCTCTAGGAGAAGAGGAGACCGTGTGTGCATGACGGAGGCGGAGCACGACAGCTGTGGGCTATGAAGATGAGGGACATTAGAGGTAGGCTTTAAACGGCAGGAGTTTACTGGGAAGATGTGAGAGGAAGGCAAGGAGGGAAGATGAAAGAGCACATGGCAGGAGGCAGGGCAGGAAAGTGTGAGGTCTCCGGGGAAGTGGCGTCTGGTGTGTCAAAGCTGCAGGTCATGTGGACAGAGATGAAACTAGAGAGACAGGTCAGCTGGCTGAGGCCATGAAGGCCACATCCACCTTGCTAAGGCATTTGGATTTTATTCTTCAGGCAGGTTTTTTAAAGGAGGCGATAATGCGATTCCATCTGGGTTTTTAGAAAGATAACTTGAAAAGTGTATAATGGATGGCTAGAAGGAGGGATGCTTATCTCATAAATGTTTGGGTGAACTTTCAGGACTTGCACCCCAGGCCAGTCTTCCCTTGGATTTGAATGAACTTGTCAAATAGGTCAGGAATAATCACTTGCTAAATGGCCTTTGAGTGAGACATAGGAAATGAAACTCCACACCAGCTGCAAGGAAATATAAATCTTACCATTTTGAAAATGCTATTGCTCAAGAAAGAGAGTAAAGTAGCTTAAGAGGAACTTGATGGTGCCCTTGGGATCCAAATGAGAACCATTATCGTTAGTCAAGGGATTACTCCAAGTTTCTCCAGTGGCAATTCTTTCCCTGAGCACACTTGACTTTGAAATGTTAACTCATCCATAAATGGTGAATCAAGGCCCCAAGAAGTGCCCTTTCTGAGCCTAGAGTTGAGTGAGCATCTCACCTAGGACAATGCCCAGGTGTCCCTTTGGCCCTCCCAAAGCTGTGGCAAGGCCACCAGGCCCCTCTGGGGTTGTGAGTTATGAGCAGCCAGGCCACAGCCCAAAGTGGGCCTCTCCTAAACCATCGTGTTTACATATATTCTGTTTAATATGGACAATGAACAGGTCCACAGATCAATTAATAGACATTTAAAAGCATTTACTCAGTCCCCACAACAGTTTATGGAAAGTGCATTTAGAAAGCAATCGAGGTTATTGCCATTCTAAAGTGCTTGGGGATCCCAGATGAAAGGCCCTTGTAACTGGAAAGTATTTATAACTCAAGAAGAACCCCTCCACACCCATGTTATACAACACCAACACCATCCCCTGGCACGCCTGACCTGTCAGTCCATGCAGCATGTCTGTTTGAATTACACTGTAAATTCTGTAGGGTGGAGACTTTGTTTTTATGGTTTGTAAAGCATCATGAATAACCAGGACACTCTGTAAATAAATAGAAGCCATACAAAACAAAGAAAATAGATGCTATTCAGGGGCCACATTCCCAGTGCATTCAGGAATTCATCCCTTGTTCCAAAGTGTTCAGGGTAAATGAATGTCACTCTGGAGAAGGCCTGTGTGGTAGTGTCAGAATCATCCCCCTTTGAAAAGAAGCGTAATGGTGTTTTCTAGTAATTTTATTCATCTTCAGAGACAGTATACAAGAAGAGTCATTGGCTCTTAACCAAAGAGGAAAGATTAGTGCACGGAGAGATGAAATGATTTGCACAAAGCCATGAAGCAAACCAGAAGTGAAATGGGATCTCGTCCAAATTTGATCCTAATTCCAGCTTGTTGTTGTTCCCACTTCTGTAACAGGGTGGTAGGAACTATTCATAAGACGCTCCGTCATGGCTAATGTACAGCTGTCAGGAAGCGGCTGTGACTGTGGCCACCACAGAACCCTCTTTAGCCATGAAACTGGTGACTGGACGCTGGACCTCTGGTCTGGCTGCCGTGGTGCCTCCAGACACCCAGATCTCCCCAACTCGCTTCTCATCATTTTATCTTGCAAGGGAGTCTAGGAAATAACATTTTCAGTGTTTTAAGCTCTTGCACTAGAGGTAAGGTAGAATAAAGATCGATAGAGCCATCCACAGTTTTCTGCCATAAGCACCAAAGACAAGTTGCATGAGAAAGTCAAAACAAAGATTTTTGAAAATATGGGCTGTGTATATGACAAGCAGCACCACCCTGTGTTATTAAGGCTCTTTCCATTTGCTTGTGTTTTAGACCCTCAACTAGCCTGTAAGTGTTTGGAAGGCAGGGACTACAATTTATAATCCTTAGTACTCCCCATAGCACCCCTTGTATATAGTAGCAGCTGAATGAATATTTGTTGTTTGCTTTTTAACATGTCCAAAAAGATATGATAATCTCTGAGCCAGTATGAAGACATATGAAAGAAGAGAATTAGGTCAAAACTTGATTTAGGTTGGGCGCAGGGGCTCATGCCTATAATCCTAGCACTTTAGAAGGCTGAAGTGGGAAGATCACTGAGGACAGGAGTTTGAGACCAATATAGCTTGGGCAATATAGACAGACCTTGTCTCTACAAAACATTTTACAAAATTAGCCAGGCGTGCTGGTGCGTGTCTAGCTACTTGGGAGGCTGAGGCAGGAGGATCACTTGAGCCAAGGAGTCTGAGATTGCAGTGAGCTATGATGATGCCACTGCACTCTAGCCCAGGAAACAGAGCAAGACCCTGTCTTAAAACAAACACTCACCTGTTT